TGAACACCCATCATGTCCTTCTCCAATGTTCTCGGTAAATGATATAACCCATCACTCAGACCTCTGCCTTTCTGATTTCTCTCTCACCCTCCTCATGTCCAATCTATTTGCAAGTCTGCAATGCTGGAAGGCACTAATTCCATTTCCTGAGTCATTTGCTTACTCTTACCACCAAAGTCTCTCAGACTCTGCTGCAGTCTCTCACCGGGACCACAATGAGCTCCCTCAAAAGTCTCCCCACTTTGATTGTTCCTCCCTGCACACAGCAGCCCAGCTAAACTTTTAAAGAAGTAAAGCAGATTCTATCACTTTATTGCTTCAACAATCCCTCACCTCCCCCAACCCCCCTGATAGATTTCTACTGCAATTATAATAAAAGCTGTCCTCGTTTTTCTAACCCTTTTCTGTGATCTGGGCCCAGTCTGTCTCTCTGGCCTCATTTTTTAGCATCATCCCCCCCCCCCCCCCAACACACACACACACACACACACACACACACACACATCTTCACATCCCCCCCAATACACACACACACACACACACACGAATTAGTTTAGTAAAACCCAGACACACTGATTTCATCTCTCAAGTATTTGAAGTATTTGTACTCTGTCCTAGCAGGCTTCACCCCAGACTTTATATGGTTGGTTCCTTCAGCATCCCTGTCTCTGGTCAAATGTTACTTCAGAGAGATATGCTGCAAGCACTCCTTTAATCTTCCCCCTAGTTATTCTATATCTACTTACCGCTCAAGTTTTTAATTACCCTTTCTTTTTTGTTTATATAGCATTAGCTGTCCTTGCCCTATAAAATCTAAGTGCTGAAGTGTGGTGAGGACAGAGGTTGGATGCTCCTATTCATTATTCCATCAGCAGCTCAGAGCCCCAAACTGCTAGTCACACAGCAGAGGCTCAACGAACACGTACTGAATGAATGATTGCACTCAATACTGAGGGTACGTGAAAGAACATCCTTCAATCTGGTTACCAAGCTTACATATATGCTCACTAAAAAAAAGTATTTTTTTCTGCCATTATAAGTGGAATCTAATTTTGGTAATAAATATGAACAAAATACTAAAGTCTACTTTGAAGTTTATAATTGTGCTGCAAAAGATAGATTAGGAAAGGGGGTCTATTGCCCAAAGTAGGGGTCCCATGGCTAGGCCCTGACCTAAGCACTGAGAAAATAATACAATCCTTTAAAATATAGTGGTTCTATATCAGATCATTTTCCAATTAGAGAAGAAGTTTCCAAGACAGATGCAATATTGCAAAACACAGAGTTCAGTCCCCAAAAAATCTAGGAGAACTAGCTCCAAAAATAATTAAAACATGATTGCAAAGTTTCAGTAAACTCTATAAAAAAAACAACAACAGAAAAAGTGTTTCTAGTATAATCCTTAGATAAATTTGATCTTTACTATTTCTTATCCTGAACTACAGCCAATCAGTGTTTATGTCTATAAAACAATATGTGAATACAAGTTTAAAAGCCATTATCAATTGTTCAGTTACTGTTGTATCATACAGATAAAAATACGAAAAATAGTTTTAGTTTTCGCCTGGTTATGCAGTCTGTAAATCAGTCTCTGTTATACAATACTCATATTTTAAATGATCACAAGTGAAAACTGTGCAGCAATATCTAACCCCTGATGACAATTCACAGCCATGTAGCTTAATTTGATTAAAAGCTAAATAGAGAAACATCCTTTTAGAAATATAGAGGTCTGGCAGTGGATCATAAATACAGACTGAAATCCAACCCAAAGTAGGAAAAATAATTAGGATCATTAGCCTTTACCATTCTCCACAAAGCAGCAGGACAGAA